CAGCCAGTAGAAGCAAAACTGACACGTAACAATCAAGACAAGACTTAACAACCATTATTACAAACAACAAATAATTTGAAGACACTCAACAACCATTAACGAAAACAACAATTAATTTAAACAGACATTCAACAACCATTAACACAAACAAAAATTAATTTCAAGAGACACTCAACAACCATTAATACAAACAACAAATAATTTGAAGACACGCAACAACCATTAACGAAAACAACAATTAATTTAAACAGACATTCAACAACCATTAACACAAACAAAAATTAATTTCAACAGACACTCAACAACCATTAACACAAACCATTAATTTGAACATACACTCAACAACCATTAACACAAACAACAACCAATAACAAACGACACTTAACCGATTAAAAAGACACAAAACAATCATGCACACAATCAACAAACAAAAAGAAAAGACACGCAACCACTAAAAAGACAGCCGAACAGTCAGACATACACCACCACATTTTCACCATACACGATGCAAATTATGACAGAATAATTGTGTCTCATTTCAATTTAAACATTTTATTTCCAAAGACATGTATCCATTTTATAGCCTTAAACAAAAAAGGTGATTTATTAAACTCAAAAATAAATATTCATATTTGCAAGAAATAAATAATCGGTAATTTGTCGTGATTAAAATGTATGAAATAAGACTGAATGATGTGATGATCACACAATAGAACTGGTTGGTTCTTTATATTGCACACCGGTGTTACATTAAAAAAATATACCACTAAAACAAACTCATTTTTCGGTTCAGTGAGTTTTCACGTAACTGGAAAACTTTTGTTCTGGAATGAAAACCAAAGCTGGAATTAAAACAATTCCGAAATTGGTTTTTCGTTTTGTGTAATCGCCCAAACATTTTGTCAGTATTCAAACAGCTAAACAAAGTGGACAAATACATTATCAGTCTGAGATTTTGGTGGAAACTAAAAGCTGTACAACTTGCAAACAGATCGAAAACTCGCTGTATGTTACAAAGGTAGCCTCTGTTAGCATGTAAGAATTCCCCAGATGTTCACAAATCCTTTAAAGAGTTTTTTTTTTAAGGTTTGATCCTGTGGAAGCCTCGCTGAGCTTGTTACGTGTAGTCTTCATTGTGTGTGTGTGTGTGTGTGTGTGTGTGTGTTCCCCCCCCCCCTCCCCCAGTTGTCTGCTTTTTTGCTTTACGCATGTTACACAAGGTCGCCGAAACTCGGGAGCTCAGTTACCTCGACTCTCCCCTTCCTCATCGTTTCGAAATCCTGAGCCTTTAAAGTCCCTTGAGGCACCCTAGAAAATCATAGGGAGTGGGCGCCCGTGTAATAAGCATACAACATACTTATCTGACACATGTAAAATGATGTCAAGCAATCGAGTCCACCACTTACAAGTTACACCTGTTCATCTACAAGCTCTACACAATAACATAGAAATACTGATGTGTAAAAGCGTAGCAATTCAATAAAGCTAACGTCTATTTTCAGACATCAGCAACATTTTTAAAGAACACTGAGTTGTACAGCATATGGAAACAAAATCACACTGTCCGGGAATAAAACCATAATATAAATGGAAATGCAACAGTAACTGTCGACACAGGCGAAGGATGTAGTGCATAAACCCGCCAAATACATTGTCAGACTGTTTAAATGAATACAATAAAACAATCCCATGGTATTTACTGCCAAAGCGGCGTGAAGTATGGGTTCATCGATACTGGGTCACAGCATTGTCAGGTGGGAAGACCAGCTTCCTTCCTCGCTGATCGTCATTCTCAAAAAAAAAAAAAAAATTCTGAGATCCATTTTTATAGGGTATTGCTTTAGTCCCTGCACTGCGACTGTGCTTCACTCTGACATGTTTTAACATTGAGAATTACACACCTCTCACACTGTGACTGTAAAAGCACTCACGGAACACCATATACAAGCTGAAACATCTTGAAAACGGTATGCATTTGAGGCATTCTTTCACTGGTAATGGGTACAAGTCACAGAAACCCCGTTGAACCGTTGGGTTATAGTTAGGGCCCCAGACGACAGCCAGGGTGAGGCTTTAAAATAACCAAAAACTGCGTTCCATATTTGGGCGAAGTTTTAATACAAAAACCAGGGACTGACTGATTGACTGACTTTCTACCCCACCAGAACATCACACAAGCGATAAACACCCGATGACACAATGTGCCACCATGTGGGTGAGGATCACCATGGAGAGGTCCCAGAAACCGCTTTCAGCCTTTAGGCCATATTTATGGCCAGGCTCTATTGAGGCCCCTGGCAAGAGCCAGAGTAGGGCTTCAAATAACGAAAAATTTCATCCTGAAAAGGACGGAAAGTTATTAAATTAGTCGAAAACAAAACAATGAAGAGACACTGATCAACAGTTGCACTTTCAAATGTCAGCACAAACGGTGCACACATTTTAACAGAATGACAACAGAGAGTAAAACTGGTAGTAGTGCTTTAAATAATATCCTGTTCAACTCATCTAGCTTATAATTTCGATACATCAAGTTGTTCTTTTCCATTTTGCAATCTGATATTTATGTTTGCGAATCATTATATTTTATTTATATTTAATGGTGTACTGACTACGTAGATGTTAAATAAAAATGTTTACCTTCATAAAGGGAAAGTAACTCTTACTAAAAAGCAAAGAATGCGGACGAAAAGAAAGTGCACTAATTAGAGACATGCAATTCACAAGATAATAAACATTCTAAAAAACAAGAGCTATGTTTTCAACGTGCTATTGTTTATAAATGTATTTCTGAACACCTTTAGAACGGAGGCCAAACAATACAGATAACGACCATCTATTTACTGTAGCCAATTTGCAGGTGTGCAGTTTGCGTGGATGAGAATCGGTTCGTTACATTATCAGCGCCTACGTTACAAGTATGGTAGGCGATGCAACATGTGTAGGCGTGCATAAAACTGTGACATTATTACACTGTTTAGCATTTAATATACAATGTGAACATATTAATATTCTCATCTGAGAAATAAAATGTCTGCGAACATATTTGCAACAGCTGCTTGTAGAAAACATGTTTTGATAGACCCATTTATTACAGTCCTTTAGAACATCAATAACCGTCAAAATAACGATAATTTTAGAGAAACCACATTCCAATGTAAGACGCAATCGGGAGCATATGTTTTACGGGTTGAACTGGGTTTCTGGGACTTGTGCCAGAGTGACTCTCAACTGAATGGTAGCACTTTGTGTCACCGGGTGTACATCGCTAGTTGTGCGCTTTTGGTGGGGTTGAATGTCAGTCAGTCAAATTTATAATTTAACTAGAGCATTACTAACGATCTTCATGCGAGTGAATCCACATCAAAACAGATTTTTCACAGTAGCCTTGATTGCCAGGTGGATGTAGACTGAAAAAAGGCGTGAGAAAGTGTTCGAAGAAATAAAGGCTTCATGTGTACCAGCAGGATCAAACATTTGTGCAACAAAACAATGTTAAAGGACTTGTTATGTGCATACGTCAACTTCTTTTCTTTAGTAAAGTGTGTGTGTGTGTGAGAGATAGGCGAGAAGGGGAGAGGGGGGCATCACAGTTTTTTTTTTTAATGCGTTGCTACGTCTGCCATAATTTACATCCCCACTGTTGTATATATTGTAAAGACTGTCAGTGTTCAACAATATCATGAGGCTAATCATAAACATGATTTTACTAAACTGCCTATCAACTTAATTAACTAAAATCAACTAGTTTAACGTTCCCCTACTGTTTCACTCTAAACATGGTACATTTTCAACAAATTCTATTCCGTCTGGCGCCACTTCTTTTTGAAAAATACCTGACAGTACAATAAGCAGATGGTTGTAAAAAAAAAAAAAAACCTATATATATTATCTTCTTCTTCTTAACGTTCACAGGATGAAAACACCGGCTGAAAGTCCTGGTTGTTCGTCCACTTCTGGACTTCAGTTTTGTCCAGAACTTTAAGTGTTGCATGTATATCCATTTTACAGATTCAAACCTACATGCATACAGACTGTTGGTTCCTTGCCTTTCTGGCAGATGCGTTTCGACTTCGAAGGAAATACCCCTAATTGTCGACTTTTGCGACAAGCTTGTTGGGAAAGCGGTGCCCCCCCCCTCCCCACCCAACGAATAGGGCACCAGAACCGACACCAAGATCCAACGTGATATACCAATCATTTCAGACCCAACTGTTTATAAAAAACGGTGCCAGTCTCAATCAAAATAATGCTGTATATCACACGAGGAGATTTGAACTGCTCGATAGCTTTCACCAAGGCCACTGGTCCCTTGGTATATATACGTTTTTCAGAGAGAAGAAGGATGAGGAACAGAAGAAGAAGAAGAAGAAGAAGAAGAAGAAGAAGAAGAAGAAGAAGAAGAAGAAGAAATATGTTTGTAGTATTTCCGGTGTAGTTATGTTCTGAGAGTTGGGAATACACAGCAGTCAATATATAGTTTTAACAACAAGTCAACCATATGCCCTACTAAATTTAACCCAATCTTATAAATTAATTATAGGTTTACATCAAACCACCATGAAATAAAAATCACAAGTGAACAAAAAAGTTCGTTTGAGCTCCAGATATGACTATGTACAGACCGGCCAGCGTGTCTATAGTTTAACATTAGTGTTCAGTCATTACAGTTGTACCGGATAGTTCAATGATCAAGTCCCATTTAGTAGTGCCATCTCAGTGAATGGTGGGACGTTGACTGGGACCTCGAACATAAGGACTCTAATGGTCCTATCCATACGCAGGCAAGAATTAAACACTTATTCCTGTGAGTGGTTATGTCAATAGGGCCCAGTTCATTGCTTGCGCTGAGGGCTTACTCTGTTTCTGTACATCTGATGCAGTTTCAGCTTCAAGAAAAGCCTGGCTGTTACGATGAAGCTGACGCCAAGGAGACCGTTCACTTGATACACACACACACTGGTGTGCACCACATGGAACACCAAGAGTTTTGTTCTCAGTTAATGCAAGCCATCCAGACAGTCTTCGCATATCCAGCCGCCTTCCCATGGCAACCTAAAGCAAGGCTTGGTCGTGGATTCGCAAGTGTAGCAGGATTTCTTTGTTGCCGTGGTTGTCTCTTTCCCTGTCTGACTGACTCGAATAATTCTGGGTGGAAAATAACAAGTGTCACCGTTACCGGACACTTCGTCAACGTTAGACGTGTCGGAGTGAATAGGTCGGGGTTTGTTTTGGTCCTGTTCATTGTAATCAATTTGCGTAAGGTAGCCGTCGTATCTGGGGACATTTCTCTGTTTGGCATGTCGGAATTCTTCTTCAGTGGATTCGGGCTGGCTTGTTGAAATAATATCGCTAAGTTCGGAATCGCTATCTTGGGCTGTATTTGAAATTATGTTAGGATTCGAATGTAGGCAAGACTTGTGAGCTGTTGTAGATTTGCACTTTGGCTTTTTATCATTGGATTTAGCTGAAATGTTTCTGACCGAGCTTGGCGTTTGGTCCCCGTAAAGAACAGGCTTTGTTGATGGTTTGTCTTTGCTGATATTATATTTTGAGTTGGCTGGGGTACTGAAAGCTGAATAAGCAGAAGCCAGGGTTGAACACGACGTGACTGTATCGTAACCGGAATCTTTGATGTTCTTTCTTAGCATGGGAATGATGTTCTCTTTGCTCTGTGAGTCAAATATCTGCCCTGATGTGGAATGTGACAGCTCTGAATCGCTGAAATTGTAGTCTTCATTAAAAATTGTCTTGCGTGATGCTTCACGACATTTTAAACACAAGTACCTTTTCTGGGATCCACTGAATGTTTTGTTTGAAACACAGCTTCGACTTTTCCGTTGACACCGGGCACACATATGTTTCTTCAAAAATAAAGAGCAGGTCAGTTTTTCCAGCAAACGCTGCTTTCGATATGAACAGTCTATATGATCTCTGGGCGAACTTACATTTGAGATTTTTCTGAAAGCTGGTTGTCCCGATACTGAGTTATAAGTCTCTGTAGATTCATCATCATTCGAGCGGCTTTCGTCTCTGCTCACGGAGATACCATCGTCTGAATGAGTTCGCTGTTTGAGACTTCTTATGTGACGAGTATCGATGGTCAGCATGCAGAAGTCTCGAGTGAGATCATCGCTGGCGCTGTCTGCATGTTGTTCTGGCGCGGGCATTTCTGACAGACGACTGCCGATATCTTTGTAATATTTCTGCATGGTGAAACTCAAGGAAGAACCGCTTGGATATCCTTCGCGGTCTGCAACTGGAAATCTTTTCTGTGTTTGAGTTTTCATTTGGCTTTTGAGCATAGCGCGTCAATTATTTTAACGTGCAGAGTATTGCGTAAAGTTGTAAAAACTTTAAATCTGCCAATGTCAACAATGCTGAATTGCACCAATGGTGTATTAATTGTCTACAAATACTTGCTGGTTGTGAGAATATCCACAGTGGGCATTCGTGTTTACAGTTTTCCCCCCCGGTAAATAGTAGTAGAAAAGTACCACTTCACAAATATAAATACTCTTCTTGACACAGCTAGTGATATCAATAATCGTACGTAAACTGTCAGCGAGTCATCGTAAGTGATCTCCAAATAAAACACTAATGTATATCTTGCAACAAGTTAAATTTAGTTCACAAAAATGTTTCCTTTTACTTGAAAACAAATCGCTATAATTTGTTGGAATCACTTTCCACTTGCACCGTACCGATCCGTATTGTCGTCTGTGAGTTATTTCAGGGTCCGCGTGCATTATATACCCGACGTGGAGCGTGCCCGCGTCTTCCCCACGTCGCGTAGGATCCATGGCCGACATGCGCGGTTTTCAAACTATGAATTCAGAATAGCGCTTTGTCATGGGAAACCCGTCTCACAAGAATTTCTTTAATGATTTATCTAATAGCCTGGCCCAGCTTCGGTAAAACAAACTTGTTTCGTCATTACTTGCAATGTAAATCTGGAAAGTTCCGTAACTTTTCCCGTTTGGGAGTTTTAAATAATTTCTTTCTGTGGCTAACAAATTAAGCTGTTTGCCCTGTGTTTTGAGGGTCATGGATTCGTTGTACGGATTGTTTTTATTTTCTTCTTCTTCTTCTTTTTCTTCTTTTTCTTCTTCTTTCTTCTTCTTCTTCTTCTTCTTTTTCTTCTTCTTCTTCGGTCTTTCTGTCAGAAATTGTATGCCAAGAGTCCAGTAGCCTTTTTGAAGCTTTCGTGCAGTCCAAATATCCCCATAATTCATACCGCGTTGTGCTTTGTCTTCTCTCAGGTTAAGACAGGCCAGATTGATTCTCTGTTAGCATCATACAGTTAACAAGGTTGGAGTACATGCTCAGCATTTTCTGGTGTCATTCATTTGCATTTTATACGGAGATTCCCGAAGGTCATCGCTAGAAATACTTAGTTCGGACTTTGTACAACACTCTTGACATACGCCTAGCTGTTCTGCGTAGAAAGCAAGCGGTGTAGGATAAACCCTGCTGAGATAAAGTAGACCCTCTTAACCTTCTCCAAAGCAGTGTTACCCAAACGCATGGGGAAAATGGACAGTTGCTGGAATCCGAAAGACCCCATGCTAATCTATGCACATAACGGCAATAATCTTCTTATTTTTGTTTTGTGGACAGGGTACCTTGTATTAACGGCGTCAATAAGGAATGGATGAAGGGCTTATACTCCATTGTAAGATGGAAGGCAAAAGAAACATCAGAAATAGAATAGATACGTGCTTATTAGCAGACCAAAAACATGGAAAATCCACAGGTCATCGGACAGTTAAACATTTAAAGGTGTGGTAGATAATTCGTATAGTTTTGGTTAGGGTTAGGGTTAGGTAAACGCGCGAAAACCTTAGCCTTTCAAGAAACGCGTTAAAGCACAGAAAACACGAAAAGCCCGCTCTTACCACCCTCTAAAATAGTGGACTGTCTTGTCACGTCATTTTTGGTCGGCTAAAAAAACAAAAACACACACACCGGAGAATAAGAGTCGGGGCAGGAAAACAAGAAGAACGGCTAGGAGGAATACAGAAAGAAAACATTAAAATGAGGAGTAGGAGAAGGAAGAAAAAGAAAACAACAACAATTTCGAAAAAGAGAAGTTAATTAAATCAAAATTTAAAATATACCACGAAAATAACAATCAGCTGTCTAATAAGTCAACGCAAAAAGTATGGCTGCGTGGGCGATGTAACATATGGCTTAACAGTCGATATTGGTCGACCACCCGGCAAATGTACAGGTCATTGATATCAATAGTGACAAGCTGAAGTACAGAGTGTCGTGGGTGAGTATAAACTAGTGTGATGAGAGCAAAGTGCACGGAGGTGCCTAGCAAATCATTACATTAGGGACAACGTGTTGAAAATTTATAATCAGTTGGTTGGGGCACAATTCAGGTTAGTTGCGTATCCTTTATATGACATTGCAGAACCAACCCCAACAGCCCCTGGCTGTTGTGTGATCTTTTTAGGCAAATCTACGTCTAGTAGTTTGCCATTGCTTCTGGACGGTCGGCTTTCTTGATACCACTGTCAAAACAAACACAAGGCGCATGGCCTGCAGCTGGGATCGAACCCGGCATTACGAAGCATTCGTATCGACTTAGCCACAGAGCCGACTGGGGCACAATACATACCACTGTTAACGATTTAGTTAAGAGAAAATTTAAGTTCCTGAGCCACTGGATTTAACTTTGTCACCCCAGCTGTTAACAATTTATGTAACAGTGGTATATAAAATAACTTTTTACATGGCAAATGAAGATTGGCTGTTGAAAAGGAATGAGGGTTAAAGGGGGTATGCAAGTGTTATCTTTTTCTTCATGTTCTTCTTTTATTTCTTCTTCTTCTGTTTCTCATCCTCTTCCTGATCCTGCTCTACTCCATCTTCTTCTTCTTCTTCTACTTCTCCTTCTTCTTTTTTTTCTTTTTCTTCTACGTCTTCTTCTTCTTCTGACAGAAAAAAATGACTAACATAGCTGGTTTTTCTCCCCCCCCCTTTCCCCTCCCCCCCCCCTCTCCAAATGGCTGATACTTGACTTTCGACACCCAGGAACTCAACCCTTTCAATACCCAACAACTCCCCAGACTTTTCTTGATTATTCCAAAGAAAATTTATGTTCTTTCTTTGTTCTAACACAAGCAGTTTCTATTTTTGTTTACTTGTTTCTCCCCCCCCCCCCCCTCTCTCTCTCTCTCTCTCTCTCTCTCTCTCTCTCAGTTTTTTAGCGTCTTTTCTGTTTGAATTGCCAATCTCACCAAAACCTCTTTTTTTCACTTCCATAAATTACGACACAAGCTTTTGTCTATTTACATCTTTAGGCTACTACCCCTTTACCTGGTTGACCATGTTCTTAGTGTACTTGTATTCATGGCGAGGCGCAGACGCCGTCTGGAGGTGACAGGTTCAATTCCCGGCACGGTAACTATAGCTTTCGATTTTTATGTTGTCTAGTGTGTTCTTCTATCTTTCTACTTCTTTCTATGAGTGCCGTTCACAATACTTTCTGTTACTTGATTAATTCGGAAATAGAGAGAGTTGCATGCAGTACAGCGGAGTATTTTTATGTTGTCTAGTGTGTTCTTCTATCATTCTACTTCTTTCTATGAGTGACGATCAATACACTTTCTGTTACTCGATTAATTCATAATACCCCTTTACAAGCATGCCGTACAAACTGACTAATTACAAATTAGTTGAAATCAGATTTTTGTGGTCGAAAGACGCATTTATTGCATCCTAGCTGTGCTGAGAACCACAACAAAACGTTCAGAGCAAAAGAAGAAGAAGAATACAAAGGAGAAGAAGAAGAAATAGAAGAAGAAGGCGAATGTTGTACTTTTTCCAAAGTTGAAAAGCGCTGCAGTTAAGACACCAACTATCACGTGGTAGCCATAAGTCAAGACGGTTAGTCCTATGTCATCAGTACTTTAAATAGAAGGGGGTTCCCCTGACATTTCGTGCCGGGTGCAGAGGGTACTGTGGGATATGGGAATGAATGAAACTTCTAGCGCTGGCTTGGCGGGGTAGCGCTTTGTGATGGGGCGGGCGGGCAACAATGCTAGGAATGTTTCCCTGTAACATCTGCTTCTTGTAACAACCAAGGGGGAAATTCAGAGGTGAATCAGCTGCTGGGAAACGGCTGATAGGGAAGAGCGGGTGAAAATATAATCCAGGAAACAAGTCTAAACATGAAAACGGAATGCAGAGGAAGGAAGCTGTGACGGAAAGGATCATTCATTCTATACACGCGCGCATGAGTGTGTGTACGAAAAGAAATTCTTCATCCATTGTACGCAACCACCACACACACACACACACACATACACCCACACATATATATGTATAGTATGTATAGCTATGTTTGGGTGTGTTGGATGGCTAATTTGTAAAACAGACGGAATTAAAATATTCTTTCAGGGCATTTGTATATTGGTAACATTGTAATAAAGAGGTATACAAGTACTGATTGGCACTCATAAAAAAAGTAGAAAGATACAAGGACACACAAGACAATATGAATATCGACAACTAATAAGACAATTTTAATTATAAATTAAAATTCATTAATCAGACCAGCTATGTTACCATTGGCTTCCACATCGACCTAGCCTTGAGTAGTTACCAGGTGTAGTCCTGGGAAGTAAAGGCCACCGGCGTGATGCTGACCTCGTCGCGACTAGGAGTGTATAGATGATCATGAGTCTTGGTACACTTGTACACTTTTGGGTTACATACAATTTAGACCTACGGCCCTAATAATCATGTTGTATAAGCGACTGATTATGGACTTGCTTAAAGCATTTGTGTTAGGCCAACAAGCCAACAAACCTTTTTGGGGGTGAACGAAGAAGAAGAAGAAGAAGAAGAAGAAGAAGAAGAAGAAGAAGAACAAGAAGAAGAAGAAGAAGAAGAAGAATAAGAAGAAGAAGAAGAAGAAGAAGAAGAAGATTACCTTTGCAATGACGAAGAAACGAGTTTGGTACTGCGTGGTTTAACGCTGATATGGAGCTCAAAGTTATACAGCTTTAAGACCAAACTACGAATCTTTAATTCTAACATTATTTCATTTCTAGCACGTGTCAGCAAAAGTTAGAAAACTACCAAACATACGAAACGAAAGTTAAATGCATTCGAAAATAAATATCTGAGAAAAAACATGAACACGGATGGGAGGAAAAAGCGAGGAGATCAGAAATATCTGGATGAATGCCTGTATCGACTGCACTAAGACAGTGAAGGTGGAGTTATTTTGGGCATACTCTGAGACCAAATGGTCAAAGAATACAAAACAAGCACTAAAATTGGAAAC